AACTATTATGGCAAGATTTCTTGGTAATGCGGTAGTGGTGTAGTGGTAAAACACTCGCTTCATAAGGGAGAGGTTCCGAGTTCGACCCCCCCCCCCCCCCCCACGTCCTTGGTAGTACCGCACTCAACTTGTTTCTCCGTGCAGCGGTCTTGTTCGTCAAGATTCGTGTTTCGGAGTTATAGAGTTGAGAGAGGGTTATAACCACGATTAAGTAGCCTCCTCGTCTGTAGTGGCCTTCTCGGCCTTGAGGAGGTGAATAAACAAAAAAAAAAAAAAAACATTTCTTAGGTTATTATGTAGAAAACATATTGCCAAAATAAATATTATTTGGGCTTTTAAGGCAATTTCAAAGGAAACGTCTAAAGCCCCTGCAAATAAGTAGCTAAAAGATTTTTAGAAAAAACGGATAACAGAATTTTATCCAAAAGTTTCAGCCAATGGTGCTGTAGAAAAGTTCAAGCAATTTCCTGAGCAAGACCTTGTTGTTGGCAGTGATCTCTGCAAACTCTATTTGAAGTCTAAAAAGTTTGTAAACTTTTAGACTAAAACTTTTAGACTAAACTAAAGCATTAGAACATAAAATTATCCCCAGGTATGTAAGAATGATATAAAATGAATTGATTTTTCCATAAATAAGCTTTTTTTTTTAAAGATATTAAATAAAAAATAAGTATATTTTAGGAATGATTATAGGCATCTTGTTGAATATTTAGCGTATTTCATGAACATTAAATCTGAGAAATTAAATAATTTTCACATCTATCAGCCTGGTGCCTGTCACAGTGCAAGGTTTATGACCTATGCAATATACTTTCTAATGCTCGATATGACATCCACAGTCATTAAATATCTGACTCCTGAAAAGAAACATATGGTCTCAAGGGTAGCAATTATTGTTGCTATTTATTATCATAGTTTTAAGTGAATTTTCGGATTTCTGGAAATTCCCGGAAATCCGAAAATTCACTTAAAACTCCTTTAATTTTCCAGAAATTTCCGGATGCTTTTTTTTATTAATTTGTTTAAAATAAATTTTAAATTTTTACATAAAATTTTAAAAACGACAACTTTTGCATTAAAACAAATGCTTTCTATAATTAAAATTTTCACGAGATCAATTTTCGTAACAATTTTTTTTTCTTTTTTTTTTGCCTTTAAATTTATTCAAATTAACTTTTTCGAATATTAGAAATTCCTTTTTGTAAAAATTAAATAATCTAAATTCCGTTTTTAAAGTTTACGAAAGTTTTTATTTTCAGTTAATACGATCAATTTTTAATAAAATAATTTTCCGGGATTTTCATTAAAAAAATTTCCGGGATTTTTATAAAGTCAAATACTCATCTATGTATTATAGACTTGCTATTCTTAAATCAGGCAAAGCAGAGCATGCTGTTCTAAATTATTTTAATGCATTCAAAATTGCTGAAACAATTAAAACAGAATGGAAGTTGGAAACTTACTTCAGAACCACACATGGTATTTGTCTCCTAAAGTTTTTGTACTATCTTTAGGTGATTCCTACTATGAAAGCAGATGCTTAGCGTTTAACCCTTTACTTCACCAAATCAAACCCAAAATATTTAATGTTTTTTTTTTTACTTCTATAGCATTCTATTTCATGTCAAATTATACTTCCATAATTTATTTAAAAGATATGGACATGTTGTTGTACAACAACATTTCGAAAACTGGCTATAAAAAACATCACAAATTTTCAAAGTAATTTTTGGAATAAAATCAAGTGAAAAACAAATAAACATCAAGGGGCCATCAATAAATGACTTAATCCTGACATTCTTCTTGTTCTACTAACCTGCACATATCAAGAACAGATTGCACAATTGGTCTAACTTAATACAAATGATAATACTCGGCTGTGCCTTTTTTTGGCATGTGCGTGTTATCATTTGCGTGAAAATATTTTTTTAAGAATTCAAATCGTTTTAAACCAATAACATCTGCAATTGATGCACATCTAGTGTGGTGAGACCAATACATTCTATACTGTGGATATTTTAGCCCATAGTAATTAGTATTACAACAAACTGTTCAATTTCATCACGATTAGTATTAATAGATTTTCCTGTCATTTGCACAGAATATAAATTTGTCTAATCACCAATTACTTTGAACAGTGATGCATCAAAATATTCATTGAAGTATTGTCTTGGCGACCATTCCAAATGTGGAGTCTTCTTAAATTCTTCACCTTTAAAACTAAAATCAACATTGTGAGGTAATGGCTTACGCCAACAATAATCATTTTTACTGCTTTTTCTTACTTTTTTTTTGGTTATGACGTTCTTTTGTATTATTTTTTGATTTCCTTTAGACTTATTTTGTGAACTATGAATATTCTCATTATCAAAAGCTTCCGTTGATTCATTTCTAGATTCACTATCTGATTCAGTAACAAAATCAACTTCATTGTTTGATTCACAATGCACTTTAATTAAATATGTCAGTGTTTTCATCACAACTTTCATATTCGTTGGAAGTGTAGCACTTCCAATGAACAAAAATAAGTGAAATTTTGTATTTAGACTAACTAAATGTTGTAGAACAGGATAAGCAATTGCAGATATTGATTTTCAAAAAAATTTATTTTTTGACCCCATTTTGTGTCATATTCCCTGTCTAAATTATGAAAAATGTGTTTAAAATCTCCCATTATGTGATCATTTTTATGAATTTTTTTTGTTTTTACTTAATATGATATTTTTTTTAAATTCAACATAAATATTGAGCTTATCTAAGGTTTTTCAAAAAAATATTTTTTTTAGTTATAAATATTCATTTGTAATATTTTAGTTAATTTCCTGTTTAAAAATAAACGTCCTAAAAATATGTTGCATCACAAAATTAGATATTCCTTTCCCCTGTAACAAATCATCATGATGTAATTTATAAATCTCCATGATGTAATTTATAAATGACCCCTAACATATAAATATCAAAAAGATAAAAGTTTTCAGAGAATTGCCCCATAAATGCTCATAAAGTATTTAAAATGGCGGTGGCATTCAACATCATGCAGGATCCAGAAAATTAAAAAAACTTTAAAGTACAAAAACAGTCTTCATCAAATAAATGGTCCAAGCTCAAGTTATCATCAAGTGATGTAAGTAATTTTAAAGTAAAAAAAAATTATCATTAAAAAAAATTAAAATAATCCTAAAAAATTTTATCATTAAAAAAAATTAAAATATAATAAATCTAGTTTCCAATTTGGTTTACACTGATATCTGAAAATTGGGTATCCGTTTAAATCAGATTGGAATTAAAATACAATTTTCTGATATCTGTTATCAGATTCAGATCAGAACAAACCGGATCATACATCTGCTCACCCCTACATACAATCATACAGTTGTACATTCATACAATCATACAGTTGTACATTCATACATACATACATACATACATACATACATACATACATACATACATACATACATACATACATAGATACATACATACATACACAGCCCTCGGAACCAACCTTAATCTGTGCGAGGTTGGTATCAGGACGGCAGAAAAAATGGAAAACAATGGTTTGACCATAAACATAGAAACGAGGTTGGCAAAAAAATGTCGACCTCAAACACTTCTAGGTCGGCATTGCCAAATGCCGACCCTAATTCCAAGGGTTGCATACATACATGCATACATACATATATACATACCTAACATAACATACATATAAAAAGTGGCAAGGTGTCATGTTGTCAGATGAAGCGCAAAAAAAGTTGTCTATTCCAATGTATGAATGTTTATACTTATGTCAAATAAGGATACTTTGCAAAAAAATGCAATGATTGGAGCCTGGAAACTAAAAAGCCCTGTATTTTGGCCACAACAGCCCCAAATATGAGAACAAGTTGTTGAAATATTTTTTTTACTCTTCACAATTAAATTTATATTCATTAATATATTTCAAGTTTTATACAATAATCACCTGATAACTCTAAGAGCTTAGTGTATGAAATTTAAAATTTATCGATGAATATAAATTTAGTTAAAAATAGTAAACAAAAATATTTCATCAATTTGTTGCTGTCACGTTTGGGGAAGTTGTGGCTAAAATTTTAGGGCTTTTTAGTTTCCAGACACTACAATCATTGCAATTTTTTGCAAAGCATCCTTATTTGACATTAGTATAAACATGTTTGGAGTTTGCTCCATGCTTGGTAATTAGCTCAAACATCAAAATATGCTGGACCCGCCCCTGATCTGTATATATTTATTTTAACAGAAAAAATTGTATTTGTATTTCACCTGATGAATGCAATAGCACTTTCTTATGGTGAAACAGTTTCTTCTAGAGCTATGTTTTGACAAAAAAAAAAAAAAGGTATAAATTTGTAGGTATAAATTTATTCTACAGAAAATTAATTGCGTAAAAAAAAGAGTGTATTAAAAAAATAGTTATGAAGCAAAAACATCATGTTGGCATTACAGCTTATTATGCAATTAATTTTTATAAATATGACTCTGTTTTTTATCTTAGTTACAATGATAATTATACTTTTGAGAGAAAAAATTTATATACTTTTATAAATTTATATAAATTTATATATATATATATATATATATATATATATATATATATATATATATATATATATATATATATATATATATATATATATATATATATATATATACATATATGTATACATATATGTATACATATATATACATATGTATATGTGTATATATATATATATAAATATATATATATATATGTGTGTATATATAAATATATAAATAAATATATAAATATATATATATATATATATATATATACATATATATATATAAATATATAAATATATATATATATATATATATATATATATATATATACATATATATATATATATATATATATATATATATATATATATATATATATATATATATATATATATATATATATATATATATATATATATGTATATATATATATATATATATATATAATATTTGCACAGAGTGATGGCTCCACCTGGTGGGAAAACTAATATCAACATATTTGGTGGTGAGGAACCTCAAGAAGAACATGTTGTGAATAAGGGACAAGCGCTCAGAAATCATTCAAGTGTATTTGCAAGTGCAGAAGAGCCTGCAGTAAGTGTCCCTGAAAAATCCAAAGTATTGGAGACCTCTCAACCTCAAAGTACACGCAAAGAAGTTCCTTCTTTAAATGCTCACACTGAGGAAAACCCAGGGAAAGAAAGACCGAGCACTAAGGTTATGGCACCACCTGGAGGAAAAACATCAATTAACCTGTTTGGCTAAATAAACAATAAAATAATGGATAGTCATATTGATATTGCTTTAACAATTTTTTTTAAATTTGTATTTATTATCATGAGATAAATAATTTCAGGTGGGTTTTTTTTTTTTTTTTTAGTTTGAAAAATAATATTTGTTTTTTTTATCAAAGTAAAAAATGCCGTTTTATACAACTTTTAATTAATTATTAAAATATTCAAGATTTAAAAAATCAGACAGTTTTTTGTTTTGTTTTGTTTTGTTTTACTGTGCTCACCTCCCCAAGGCCCAGCAAGCAACTATAGTTAAAGAGGTTACTTATTTGTTGATGTTGTTATTTGTTTTGTTTTTCATCTTAGTTTTTGTTATACCCTTACGAGCAAGGCCGTATAATCTGAATGGAGAATTGGCTTTAAACGTCTCACTAGGCGTCGCTGTGACTCAAAACAACAAAAATAGCGATAAACCCCTTTGAAAGTGCCCTTTTTTTAAATAATATCAATTAAATTTAATTTACAATTATTTTTTGAATATAATTTAATATACATTCTTATTTGAATTAAAATATACACTTTTATTTTAATTTAAATAAATGTGTATATTTACTTTTAAGATAATCTTTTGACTCTATATATTTCGAATATACTGAAAAGAAAAAGAAAATCTTATTTTTTTGTTCAAGTTTAAAGAATTTAGCAAAATAAAGTAGCAAATAATTGTATTTTTTTTGGTTTATATATCAGCTCTAAAAATGTTTCATTGAGTACCAAGAATATATGTTTGTTCCGGTCAGTGATAAATCCGAGGCAGGGGGAGGATTTTGATATGCATCTTTTTTGTAAAAAATGGTGACCGTTAATAAAAAAATGGTGACCGTTAATAAAAAAATGGTGACCGTTAATAAAAAAATAGTGACCGTTAATAAAAAAATGGTGACCGTTAATAAAAAAATGGTGACCGTTAATAAAAAAATGGTGACCGTTAATAAAAAAATGGTGACCGTTAATAAAAAAATGGTGACCGTTAATAATCAGCTGCTGTTGGATAAACTGCTTGGAGTTTATTTTAGTAATAAAATGGGAATTAAAAAGTATAAGTCAAAAACAATTGAGGAGAAACTATCTGTAAATTTAAGAAAGAAAGAGATTCAGTTACAGAGAACGGTTAGGCCAATATGTTGACATGTTTTAAGCTGGTTTTTGGTAATAGCAATGATACTGCTAGAAAAGCATTTAAAAATAATTAAGTTTTTTCTGAAATTACTAAAGTTGATTGTAATATATTTAAAAGATTGCATAATTTTCTCATAGCCAAATCTTGTGGATACCCTATTAGTATCAATGAATTAGATCTATACTGTACTGTAACAGCTAAACATATAGTGAGTTTGTACGACTGGTATATTATGCCTTCTACTGTAACTGCAGAGTCCTTCTATATCACATAAACTACCTATATTATTCAGGGTATATTCGGAAGATGTGCTGAAGAGTTTGATTAAACAGATGAGAAATACTAGACACGGCAAAAATATCAAGATTAAACACTGATAAATCAGATGCACCTTTTAGTAAGATTAGATCCAAAAGTGTCAAGCATATCTTTTAGAAAACGTAAAAATTATTGAGAAAAATTATTACCAAATGAGGTTATTAAATTAACTGTAACGTAAATAGTAATAATGAAAATTTTCCTTTAATAATAAAAATGTATCAACATCCTTTAAAAACCATTTTTATACAAATATTAAGTAGAGTATCTTATTTAGATGTTTTTATCTTGAAGATTCTAAAAGTTTAACAAAAATTATTTTTTACGTGTGTTGTGAACTTAAACGCGCGCGTTGAAGCTGCACGTAAAATTTTTTTTAGCGAATTTGAAATCTTTGATCCAAAAATAATTATCTTTATTTACATGTTTATTTACAATATAATTTTTTACAATATATCGCGACGTTAGAATTATTTTGTTCTATCTCCATGTTTTTTTGAACCGAGAAAATCAAGTTCAAAGTTTTAAATCGATCTACAGACCAAATAACATAATAACTTCAAACAAAACCGACATGTATTAGTTTCCTATCACAGTTTTAAAGAAATTGTATTAAAATATTTATAGTGCAGGTGTCTGAATTACTATACCCTGATTTGGAGAAGGAACAATTTATGTCTATTTCAATCTCACATTTCTGTTAAAAAATATAATAAAACTAGTATTTTTTATATATATTGTGGCAAGATAGTTGTGTATTTTGGAAATTAAAGTACCGAAAGATACATACCTGTTTTATTAGAAAAAAAAATCTTATTTTACACTAGTTAACAAATTATATAAACACGCTATTTTGTCTAAAATTCAATTCTACTGAGAAGATAAGTAATATATTATCTTAAGTAAGTACCAAGATTTTCACAAAGAAATCAAACTTTAGTTATAAAGTTCTAAAAGTATAACATTTAAAATACACTGCACAATAAATTTTAATATAGCAGATCTTCTATGTCACTTTTAATATAGCTTTTAATATAGGATTTTAATATAGCAGATCTTCTATGTCACTTTTAAAGCTTTCAAATTTATTAAACTAAATTAGCACCATAAATTTAAAAATCTAGACCATTTAACAGTACTAAGAATTTCAATGTCTTTATCATACTTTCATTGAATATATATATTCTCTTAAAGTTACCTACAATTTTCTTGATATATTTTATAATATTGGAACAGAATTTTTATCTGAATTTTGAACTATTTTGAAAGAAAATAATATATACAAATATATATATATCGAATCACATCTAATTTATAACTAAAAACAGAAAATTTTTGTCATTTTTATTACTATATTTTAATCATTTCTTTTTATTATTATTTTTTTTTAATTATATTAATACTTTTTTTTTTTTTTTTTTTTTCTTCTTTTTAACTTTGTTTCTTAACATTTTAAATTGTCTTTTTTAAAATACTTTTGCTTATATATTACGGATTATTGTGTATTACGGATATTTATTTGCGTAACTATTGGGGCTCGGTGATAAGGCTATTTTATGCCTTCTTCTTGCTCCAGCCAATTGTACTTTTTATATTGTTGTACTTTGTAAATATTTTTAACGGCGAAATAAACTAATAAACTAAAAAAAAAAAACTAAACTAAAAAGATATCTTAAAGAATGATTAGTTAACCAGCACCTCTGGTTAGTCCATTTAAAATATAACATTTCAGTAAGCCCATTTAACAACATAACATATATATTTTGACAATAAAATAAAATATTTTAAAATATTCTTATAAAATGCAATATTTACAGCAGGCATATAATTGAACAGATTTTGAAGGACATTGGTTTAATCATTTGAAATTTAGTAAGATCGTAGATTGTTAACTCATGCTTTTGAACAAACATTATTTTCTGCAGTATACATGATCTAAATGCTAGATGCTTTATCTAGATATAGGGAATAAGCTTAAAATTAAAAAAGCCTGTCATAGCTAAAAAATGTTTGAAATTCAGTTTCTTCATTTGGTAGACATAATTTTTTTTTTTTTGAAGAGCAGGAATTGCTCTGATTAAACCAAGGGGACTAAATATTTTAACAGGAGCGAGTGCTCTATCAGTTTGACTGTGGATATTACCAACCTCTTGTATACTAGAATTCCCTGGTCTTCAACTTTTATCAAATTGCTCTAATTTTTGGGTAACATATCACAAAAAAAATCAACAAATATACGTGTTCATTTTTTATCACTGATATTTTGTGTCTATTTAAACTTACAAGAGTTTTACTGTCTTTCTTTTAGGTTACAGATTTGCATGAAACATTTTCTCCCTTTCAATTTTTATACTGCTGATCAGATTGTCTTAGCTGCTTTCTCACATTGTGTGTCCAAACTTTAGGTGTTGACTTTCGTTTTCTAGTTTTTACTCGACGTAGGAGCAGACGACGATTTTAGGATTATCTTCATGATAACCAGCATTGTCACTGCCTGGGTTTTTTCGTAGGAGAGTGCCGAAAAAATCTTATTTAAATTAATGCGCTAAAGTTAATTTACATAAGAATTTTTCGACACTCTCCTACGTTTAAACTCAGTAGTCAAGTAATTTTGTGTTATTACTCGCAAAAAAGTCTAAATAAGCTGAAATTTAGTACATATTCTCGTAATATAATATAGTAACACCAAAAAAAAAACAACCGTTGTTAGCCATTGGGGAAAATGAGTTAATGACATTTTTCCATAATGCTCAATTTCACTTTACTTACATATATATATATATATATATATATATATATATATATATATATATATATATATATATATATATATATATATATGTATATATATATATATATATATATATATATATATATATATATATATATATATATATATATATATATATATATATATAAATTATTATTATTTATTTTTTTTTCTTCTCCAGGTATACATATAAAATATACATTTATTATCGTGATAAAAAGAAAAAATATATATAAAATTATTACGTATCAGATTGATAAAAATACATTAATATAATTTTGATACATTAATATAGTATTGATGCAAACTTAATATAAATTCTGGTATAATAACTATTATATATATGTTTATTTTTTTCTATACTTTAATACCTAAAAAAAGGAAATCAAAGAAGATTCAGCATTTTTGGGTATAAAACTCCAAAAAAAATCATTTCGCAGAATACCTTAATAGCGCCGTTTGGCGTATATCTATGTCTATATAAAAAGTTAATTAAGTAAAATTAGAAATAATTTTATGTAATTAACTTTGTAATTACTATTTCTACTGTTATATATATATATATATATATATATATATATATATATATATATATATATATATATATATATATATATATATATATATATATATATATATATATATATATATATATATATATTTACATACATACATACACACACACATATATACACATACAAATATATATATATATACATATGTATATATATATATATATATATATATATATATATATATATATATATACATACACGCACACATATACACATACATATATATACATACATACATACACATACACTCATATATATATGTATATATACATTTTATTTATTTA